ACAGAAGTTTTGTCGACAGTATCTGTCGACAAAACTTCTGTCGACAGAAGCCTGTAGTAAGAGTCCAGTAAGCAGTGGAAGTGTTGGTAATGCTGTCAGATTATATTGGCCTCCCATGGTTCAGCAAATTCTCTGATTCAGCACCGGTCAGGTCCCGAAGGTGCCGGACTAGAAAGGTTCAAGCATGCCATCTCCTTGACACCACCAGCCTTTCAGCCAAGGACACACACTTCTGTAAGCTATGCCAGCCCTTATTGCATCTTGCAGGTTTAGTCCCCTTACTAAAGGAGCTTCTGACTTCTACTGGAAGAATCTTTGTGCTGCAATCTAGCTCTAGAGACTGTAACTCCGATGAGCCCTTGCGGGCAAAGAGGGGAATGATGGCTCTTCCAAGCATGGAGAGAGAGAGTTAGGCTAGGCTCCATTTAGGAGAGAGGAGCCAGTCTGCTGGTGGGGAGCCTTTTCCAGGCCAGGAACTGTTGTGTTGCAGCTAGAGCCTGTTATTGAGAGCCTGCTGGGGCTTCAATCTAGCAGGCTGCTTTAGGGGCTGCTGGGGATTGTTCCTGGAGGGGAGAGATCCTGGCTGTGCCTGTGGCTGGGAAGAGCCTACATAACCCTGCACAGGATGAAACTGTAAGTAACTGGGCTGTTTGGAAAAGTGCTGCCTGGGATGGAGCACAGAAGACAAACTGACTCTGGGTCCAGTGACAGTCATAGTGATCTGCCCAGGGAACCAGAGCTGTTGGCAGTTGGTGGGGCTTGCTCCACTGGCAGAGGGATTTTGCAGCTGGCTGTCTGCCTGGACTGACTCCCACAAAACTTGCACGGTGCTGTCTCTGCTTCAGATGCAGATCTTCAAGTGCGCCCACCCAAGCAAGTGTCTGGGACTCTGAATCCAGAGGAGTGCACATTCTGGGGGTGGGATAAATGGCAGCTGTGTAAATGCAGATAGATACATTTATTTTCTTTCTATATACTTTAATTGATTTTATTCACTTTTAATCTGTTCAGCCCTGTTGCTTTAAGTTGTTAAGTAAAGGTGTGTTAATTCTAATTTAATCAATGAGATGTCTATTATTTAGAATTGTTATCTTGTGAGTTTTGTTGCCATGAGGGCTGGGTAAGTACTGCACAAAGTGTATCACCCAGCGTATGTTTGTACCCTTTTTGTGCTTGCTTTCTTTCCCTGGATTTTGAGTTGAGGTTGGGGTTGTTGACAGGCACATCCATAGAAACAGCAACTCTCATGAATACCACAGAACATTCATAGAATACCAATTCCTAATGGCAAGTGTTACAGCTAGAAACCTGAGTCTATGAATTATAGTATTCAAGGGTATGTCTACACTACCCCCCTAGTGCGAACTAGGGGGGGTAATGTAGTCATACGGAGTTGCAAATGAAGCCCTGGATTTGAATTTCCCAAGCTTCATTTGCATAAAGCTGGCCGGCACCATTTTTAAATGCCGGCTAGTTCGGACCCCGTGCCGCGCGGCTACACACGGCACAGACTAGCTAGTTCGGATTAGGAAGTGGAACGAGGAGTACAGCTAGTTTGGATTAGGAAGCCTAATCCGAACTAGCTACTCCGTGCCGCGTGTAGCTGCGCGGCACGGGGTTCGAACTAGCCGGCATTTAAAAAAGGCGCCGGCCAGCTTCATGCAAATGAAGCCCGGGAAATTCAAATCCCGGGCTTCATTTGCAACTGCGGATGACTACATTACCCCCACTAGTTCAAACTAGCGGGGTAGTGTAGACATACCCTCAGTCTCTCTGGGCCCCACTTCTCCTTCAGTAAGCCGTCTTTCCTTTGTGTGTTTGGACGATGACTCTGAAGAGGCAGAGACGGTCTCTCACTGTATGTCTGGGCAGTGCCAAGCACAACGAGGCTCTGATCTCTGTCACTATGCGTCTGTGCAGCACTTGGCTAGCCTACTAGTTGTCCCAGATTTTTATTAATTTTTAAATGACGTTTTAAAGTTAAAATGTCAAAAATGACTGAAGAGTGGGCTTTTCGAAACTGCTTCCTTTGCTGTAACCCACAGACCTCTGACAGGAAAAGCAGAGAGTGTTCTGCAGCCAAAGGAGTTGAACGATATCTTGCAGTGCCTTAATTTAACCTTCGTTTTGGTCACAACTTGCTTGAGACACCCAAAGAAAATACCGTTCACCCCAGCGATGACCTCTCTGCAGATTTTTGGATTGTTCTCTGGTACAGAAGGTTTACTGCAAACCAAAAAGGTAAAATTAACATTTTAAGTTATTGATGAGGAATTTTCTCTAAATGTTCTAAGTTTTCTTTCAGGAAGCTTGTAGCTTTGTTAGCAGCCACAAAGTTTGCTGTGCCAAAAATGCCCATTGGTGACACTAGGAATTGTCACTAAGGTGTCACACGTGACATGGCAGCAAACCCGCATTAGCCTTCTCAGCTAAAACTGGTCAGAGTAGGATAATTGATGAAAGTGTGGCAAACATGCCAGAATCCTCCAAAGCTGTGTCTACAGCAGGGCACACCCGCTGGCAAAACAGTGCTAGCACTGGTGGAATCTTGTTATACAATTTCCCAGTGGGCATCAGTGGGCCAAATCTTCATCTGGTGTAAATTATCACAGCTCCATTGACTTCCAGCCAGCAAATGACCACATGCCCCATGCTGCAGAGAAAGGGAAAAAAAGTCCCAGGGCTTTTGTCATTGTGACCTGAGGGGAAATTCCTTCCTGACCTCAAATATGGTAGCACATTAGACCATGAGCGTGGGGATGAGACTCACCAGCCAGTCAGGTCCCCAAACTCCCCTGGTTTTTGTTCCCTTTCAAAGAGGCTCCTGTGCCTCTGGCTGGCAGGTTGCTTGCCTTTATAGACCTGCTGGTGTGGGAAGCCCTGCCCCTCAATGGAGGTTCAGCTGTGATCACAGGCATCGCTTCTCTCAGAGCACGCCACCCCCACTTTGCTAACTAAGAACAAAGCAGTGATGGTCTCAAACACTCTCAAGTACTGCCCCTCAGGAACAGGGATTTGTTTGTTTAAAGCAACCTTCGGGCAGTAGGGGTGCAGAGAGTGCTGCAGCAACCCAAGTTTTGGGCATCCCAGCCATATGCTCCTGGCTGCCAGGCCTGCTGTTTTCCCAGGGCTCCACTTCAGGCCTTGGGTCCCACTTGGCTGCCTTCCCCATGCCCGTGCTCAGCGGCCAGCTCTGGGATCCACTTGACTATTGGCTCTGCCACCACGTCCTGCATGCAGGGTGCCAGCTGCCAGCCCCAGCTCTAAGAGGCTGTGGGGGGTGCACACAGAGGTAAAAGGGGGTGCAGCTCAGCACCCCCACTCCAAAAATTGTTTCCGTGCCAGTTTGCCACCACCGGTTTTTGGACTTACACCGAACATGTCTCAGCCAGAGCAGAGCATTGGCCCCTCTGGCTCAGATGTTTGCAGTTCAGTTGCTGGAAGGAAAGGGGCACAATCCATTGCACAGGCCCACTCCTGGCACCCAACTTTACTCATCTGGCTCTGGGAAACAATTGCCTAGTTTGTTTTCTGCACTGAGTCCAGGCTCAAAGAAGTTTTAATTTTTACATATGTATGTGTTAGAGACAGACTTCAAATGGGGGGCAGGATGAAGGGAATGAACCTTCCCCAACTTTCACCCATGAAGTAAACACCTCCTGTCATGGGTCACCCCCCATTCCAGGAGGCCCTGCTCCGATCCGGGGCATATGTCTGGTCTCCAAAATAGCCTGCCCCTATCTGCGGGGAAATATGGCCCTCTGGCCAAGTCTTAAGGTCCCATATGGCTTCCTGGTCAAGCCTGAAAGTCTAATGCCCCTGTCACCTGGGCCTAGCCCTCGAAGTACAATGCCCCTCTCTTAGGGGAAATACAGCCTCCTGGCCAACTCTCAAGTCTAATCCCCCCGTCTAAGCGGAAATACGGCCTCCTGGCCAAGTCTTTTAGATGCGGGCCTTGCAGCCTAGTCCTTACAGGATTCTCCACCCTCCAGGGAGCTGGAAAGCAGGGGTAAGGGCCCAATCAGTGGCAGGTGGCTCCCACCATTGGCTCGGCGGGGAGTCCTTCCCGAAACTTGCCGGGCCTTTTCCAGTCCCCCACCCTGTGGCACTTCCTACCCCCTTCCCACAGCTGGCAGCGGTCCCACCTGTTGGCGTGAGTCGGGCAGCAATAGCAGTGGTTCCCCACCTGGCGTCTGGTGCAGCAGCGGCGGGTGCAGCGCCTGTGTTCAGGGAGGCTGTATGGTGGCTCCGGCGTTGGGGTCAGGTTCAGCCTGGGCCTGGCAGAGGCGAGATCAGCCAGCCCAGCATCCCTCTCTCGGGCTGCAGTGGGTGGACTTGGGCGGTCATGGCCTAGCTCCTCCTCCTTCAGAGGTCAGCCCCAACTGAGCAGTTCTGCAGCCCTTTATACCTGGGCTGCACTGGGAGCATGCCCAGCAAGCCTGCAGGGGTCAGGCCCTCTCAGCCCACTGGGCCAGGTGAATTCCCTGGGCTTGAGTGCAGGGCGGTGCTGCCCCGTCACACCTCCCATGTCTGACTCCAAAATGAGATGAAATTAAAAATGTAAGAGCAGTCATACTGGGTCAGAGCAATGGTTGATCTAGCCCAGTATCCTGTCTGCTGACCATGGCCAGGGCCAGGTGCTTCAAAAGGAATTAACAGAACGGGCAGTCATCAAGTGGTTCCTCCTGTTATCCAGTCCCTTCATCTAGCAGTCAGAGGTTTAGGAACACCTAGAGCATGAATTACTTTCCATGACCATCATTGGCTAATAGCCATTGATGGACCTCTTCTGCATTAACTTAGCTAATTCTTTTAAAAAAACAATTATATTTTTTCCTTCATGATATCCTCTGGCATCAAGTTCTGCATTGGGTGACCCTTGGTTCTTGTGGTATAACAACACATCTTCACTCACTTTCTTCATGCAGTTTTATAGATTTCTATCATATCCTTCCTTAGTTGTCTCTTTTCCAAACTGAAAAGTGGGCTCCAGCCTACGAAAGCTTATGCCCAAACAAATTAGTTAGTCTTTAAGATTCCGCAGGACTCCTCACTGTTTTTGCTAAATCAAGTTTTGGATTGTTTAGAAATATATTCTCTGGTTCAAACAGGAGTTATTTGAGGGACAATGGATCCTTCTGACCTTTGAATCTATGAATCAGTGGAACACCCTTTGTTCATAATTTGAAAGTTTTGTTAGAGCTTATAAGGCCTTAGATGAATTACTTTATTTTCAATGAAATTTAGATTTTGAGGCACAAGATGGGAACCCTAAAAAAAGTGCTCAGTGAATCACTTAAATATGGCCTATTTGTCTCTTGGTTTTCTTTATTTTCTCTTTTAGCTTCCAGAGCTACTTAAATTTGTCATTTCCCTAGCCATCTGATAATGAGTTCTGCACAACCAAATGTTCTAATGACCTGATATTTAGGATATGGAATAACAGTGAATCTTGAAATTGGTGAATTGTTTTTCATTTACTGTCTATAAAGGAGACAAAAAGCTGAGTTTGTCTCTTCTGTGACTTGCTCCTTTTTATCTCCAAGGATTTTCAGAACTTTAAGAAGACGAGTGGACTCAAGGAATTTATGATTGTAGCAGAATCGTGGATCATGGAATTATTGCCCAAACCACATGACCAGGAAAAAGCCTTTTTTCATGATATTGATGTGAGTAAAAAATAAAAACAAACAAACAAACAAAATGCAACAACTCCCCCCTCACCAGTGAAATTGTTTTTTGTTGTTATTGTTGCTTTTAAAAATAGTCAACTAACAGGTTTGTTCTGTTCCTAGAGATGGCAGCAGCTCTCTGCCGCTAGGCTATTTTGTGATGAGTGGACCTGTGACTGGCGAAAACTTAATACATTTTTGTTTTTGAAGTGGATAAAAAAGGTGAGTTGACTAATGACAAATCAGAAAGATGGTCTTGGCCTCAGAGAACTTAAATGCAGACACAGACAGACGGGAAAGTGTAAAGCACCAGTGATTATTATGGGAGGAATAAAGAACAGTAGCAGCAAACCAGTTCGATGAGTGACCACCCACAGCATCAGTTGTTTTTAAGGAGAGATTTAGAGGGAGGTGGAGTGTAAAAGAGGTGAGACAGAGTTAGGACCAGCAGTGAAGGTCCTTGAAAGTAGAGTTAGGAACATTTTTGGACAAAACTTTTTTACCTAAAAAAGCTAATTAAGTGTCATCAAAACCATTTTGCAAACTTGTGATGATTTCACTAAATTGTTTTGGTGAGTTGGAAACAAAACCAAATAGAACCCACCCCAACATTTTGTTTTGGCATTCATCAAATGTCATTGACTTTTGAAATGTCACTTTTTACTTAGGAATATCCTTTGATTTTATTTTTTTTAAAAATAGTTAAAAAGCTTGGAATCAAAATGAAATGTAAAATGAAATGTTTGACCCCCTCCCAAACCGATTTTGTTCCTGATTTTTTTTTTGAATTATCAGCAAACCAAATGATACTGATCCATTATGATGCTATAGGCATCATAGCATCTGCTATGTTTAAGGAAATGTTTAGAAGAAGAAAGATGAGAGGCAGGGAGCATGCCAGCAGTGCAGACAAGTACTGTGTGCTTGATATGATGGGGTATGTCTACATTACAGCGTTTTTTGAAATATCTTATTTTGAAATAATGCGTCTACACACAAAATGCATTTTGAAATATCTTTTTGAGTCCACACTGATTGGATGCTGAATCGCATTTAAGGTCAGCCAGAACTGGTTCTGGCAGGGCATCAGGTCAGAAGTTTCCTTGTGGTCAGGGTGGCTCGCAGGTCACCCTAGGAAGGGCTGGAGGCCCCCTATTTCGAAATAAGCGTCTACACAGCGCTTATTTCGAAATAGTAATTTTGAAATTGGTGCTATTCCTTGTGGAATGAGGTTTACCAATTTCAAAATAAGCTCTCCACTATTTCAAATTAATTTTGAAATAGCAGTTGGCTTGTGTAGATGCTAGGAAAGTTATTTCAAAATAACTTTGCTGTGTAGACATAGAGTGGAGAAAATGCCACAGAGAGGGATGTTGTGATCGGAGTGATTAAGCGCCCCATTGGCTAACTGCACTTTCTGGTTTAAAAGTCTCTGGTGACTCAGCTCTCTGGCTGAGACACTCCCCCCTCCCCCCTGTGTGCAGAGAACACAAACTCTTTCAGGTGTACACATCTAACAGGGGCCCATCTCAGTGCTGCTATAGTGTCCCTCAGTCTGTTCCCCACTCTGGAAGAGAGTGGTGCCCCAGGGCTTCCTTCCTAGAGGCAACATCTTTGCCCTTATCTCAGGGCTTCATGTCAGAATCCCATCATAGTCCAGTCTTCACTAAGATCACCACAGTGAACTGTCTGTGGTGCTACTGCTTTCTTAGGCAGCCAGCCTCCCAGGCTGCCCACCTTGAGGTCTGTTACCCAGGTCTTTTTATAGGGCCCTCCTGGCCTTTGATTGGCTGTTTCCTCTGCTGCTGCTCTAGCCTGGTTGGAGGACTTCTCTATTGCCTTGTCTGTAGCAGGACCACAAGGCTTCCAGCAGAAGGCCTTGAGGACCACACCATCACAACATGATGCTGGGGTAAATGAACCATTGGATGCCTGGAAGAATTCTGCACCACTGTGCAATGCAGAATTTTGCAGAAATTAATTAGTTTTGCACAGAATTGCCTTCCTCCCCCCAAAATAGATTGCAGTTTTGCTGACTGCCACCAGGGGCTGCTGGGCCCAGCTTGCACATAGAAGACACAGTTATAGAGAGGGGGAAGGAGTTAGAGGGTTCTTCTTTGAACGATATCCCCATGGGTGTTAGTCTCATAGCCCCATCCTGGTCGTGCCAGACCTGGTATCCATACCTACACAAGATAGCAGTTCAGTCTCCTTACTCGCTGCCACGCCAATGCGACCTTCTGTCCCAGAACTATGGGAAGTTGTTGCATCCACAACCCAATACTCTCCACCTCCAGCCGTGGCTACTCTGTGGTTCACAGAATTAGAAGAACAATGTTCTCAAGGGGTGAAAGACATTCTCCTTTATAGCAGGAGACCATTTACATGGAAAACTTACCTACAGAAGTGGGCCTGCTTCTCTCAGTGGTGCCAGGGAACAAGGTAGAACTGCAGATGTCCCCACTGAACATCATCCTAGATTACGTCCTAAATCTTAAGACATTGGGGCTTTCACTCTTGTCTCCAAGGGTCTACCTTTCTGCAATAACAGCCTTTCAGACCCCAGCGGATGGTTTCTCTGTATTCCAACATCCTACCACCAAAAGGTTCCTTAAGGGCCTCCACAACGTATTCCTACTTCCTTTATGGGACCTGAATCTTGTTTTGGATTGTTTGACCAGGACCCCCTTTGAACCATCGCACTGTTGAACTACTCTTCTTCTTTATGAAGGTCTGTTTTCTACTAGCTGTTACTTCAATAAGGAGAGTTGGGGAATTTGGGACCCTTATGGCCAAACCCCCATACATGTTTTTAACGGAAGACAGAGTCATGCTGAGACCTCAGCCAGCATTCTTACCAAAAGTCTGTACACCATTCCACAATAGGTGAATGAACTCATTGTGCTACCTTCCTTTTTCCTGAAGCCACACACCTCACTGCGAGATGCTGCCCCTCTCGATATCCGACGAGCATTGGCTTTCTTTCTGGACAGAACACAAGCATTTCGGATATCTCAAAGACTTTTTATTTGCATCCAGAATGCTCAAGAGGCGCATCCAGTTCATCCTGGCATATCTCAAAGTGAATATCGACATGCATAGTTAAGAGTCATACCAACAAACCATTGCAACGCCCACCAAGAGCACATTTTAATTGGGCTACAGCGGCTTCCACAGCCTTCTTGAACAACATCCCGCTAATAGACATTTATCGAGCTGTGACATGGTCATAAGACCACACTTTCTCTAAACATTATGCCATACTGCCTCAACTTGCTTTTGATTCAGCAGTGGCTACCGCAGTTTTGTCCACTGCCAAACAGTGACTCCGGCTCCCTCCATCCATATTGGATATTGCTATATAGACACCTACAGTGGCGCACCCATGGGGACATCACTCGAAGAAGAAAAGGGAGTTACTCACTTCGTGCAGTAATGACTGTTCTTCGAGATGTGTGTCTCTGTGGGTCCTCAACGACCCTCCCTTCCTCCCCTCTGCTTGGAGTCTCATTACTCAGGTGTGGACAATGAACTGAAAGGGAGAGGTTGAGCCATGCAAGCTACACGCTCGGGCTGGAGCAGTGCGAGACGTCTCGTCTGCATGCGTGGCTAAAGGGGAAACTGCTTTGCAGGGCTCCATTCTGCAGCTCTGTGCGACCCATCACTTACAGTGGAGAACCCATGGGGGGACACATCTCGAGGAACAGTCGTTACTGCATGAAGTGAGTAACTCCCTTTTCCTGCTGCAGTTCTCAGCCTGCCCTGAGGGAAGGAGATAGCGGTATATGGGAAACTCCACACTGGCCTGGCAATGATCATTAGGCTGGTTGTCCCTCTGGATCCCTTTGCCTTGAGGCATAGAGGGTTGGTGACTCCAGGGGCCATAGCTGGGCTCTGGGATGTGCAGCTGTGGGTATAGGCAAGGGGGACTCTACAGCTGGACTCTGGTGGGAAAGAGGGTGTCAGTGTTTTGGCTGGCAGCTGGATCGGAGGAATTTTTGGTGTCTGGTCACCCAGATGGGTTCTGTGCAAGGGAGAAGGCAGAAAAACAGGAAGTGGGTTGTTGTAGGGCTTCTTTAACTCTCAACTCCTGGAATTGGAACTCTGATAACACCATCCTTGCCGCCATGGTTGTAGAAGCTCCTTACACCAATATTCCACATGAAGATGGACTACAAGTGATTAGAAACACTATCCCAGATGTTGCCATGGCAAATCTGGTGGCAGATCTTTGTAATTTTGTTTTTACCCACAATTATTTCCATTCTGGGGACAATTTATACCTCCAGATCAGCGGCACAGGTATGGGTATCCGCATGACCCCGCAGTATGCTAACATCTTTATGGCTGACTTAGAACAACGTTTCCTCAATTCTCGTCCCCTATTGCACCTCCTTTACTTACACTATATCTATGACATCTTTATCATTTGGACCCATGATCTAGAAATGCTGGATGAATTCCACAGACATTTTAACAATCTGCACCCCACTATCAGTCTCAACTTAGACCATTCGACACGAGAGATCCCTTTTGCTGGACACCACAGTACAAATTACTGATGGCAAAATCAATACCACTCTCTACATGAAGCCCACTGACTGCTACACTTACTTACATGCCTCCAGCTCCCATCCAGGACACACTATACGATCCATCATCTATAGTCAAGCCCTTAGGTACAACCGCATCTGCTCTAATCCTACTGACAGAGACCAAAAACGTCAAGATCTCTACCAAGCATTCGTAAAACTCAACTACCCACCATGGGAAGTGAAAAAACAGATTGGAAGGGCCAGATGAATACCCAGAAACCAGCTACTTCCAGATAGGTCCAAGAAAATCAACAATAGAACACCACTTGTCATCACCAATAGCCCCCAACTCAAACCTCTCCAATGCATTATCAGTAACCTAAAACCTATACTGGAACATGATGTTACACTCCGAGAGGCTCTGGGTGACAGACCTGTACTCTCTTAGGGTATGTCTACACTAGCTCGTTAATTCGTGGAATGAGGAGTAACAGTTAATTCAAACTAAGGACTTAGTTCGAATTAACGTTTCAGTGCAGCGTGTAGCCGTGGGGCAGTGAGTTCGGGCGAGTGAAATTTCAAAATGGCAATCAGACAGGAACATGCAAATAAAGCCCAGGATATTTAAATCCTGGGCTTCATTTGCAACTCTGGTCGCCTCATTTGCCTACCTAGCTCAAATTAATGAGCTAATGTAGACATACCCCTATAGACAACCACCTAATCTCAGAAAGATTCTCACTAACAACTACAGGGCATACCACAATAAAACTAACCCTGGAACTTTCCCTTGCAACAAACCCTGTTGCCAGCTTTGTCTGCATATTTACTCTGGGGACACCAACGCTGTACCTAACCATGTCAGTTATATGATCAAGGGCTCATATTCCTGTACATCCAGCAATGTGATATATGCCATTATGTGCCAACTATGCCCCTCTGCAATGTATATTGAACAAACTGGTGAGTCACTTAGCCAAAGAATTAATGCTCACAGATCAGACATCAAAAATCTCCACACACACAAACCTGTCAGCCAGCATTTCAATCAAATTGGTCATTCTCTTAAAGACCTCACAACATGCATCTTACAACAAAGAGACTTTAACACCAGATTACAAAGATTGACCTCAGAACTTTATTTATGCTAAAATTTGACACGTTGTGAATGGGCCTTCATTGAGATGATACTTTTCTTACACATTACAAAGACCACCTCCTCACCTTTTGATATTCGTGACCTTAGATTAAACACTTAATTGACCCTTACAATAAGGAATTTCCTCCTTCCTTGTCACTTCCCCCTTTCCCCCCACTATGTAGTTGAATTGTCAATTTGTAAAATTTTTTTACTTTCATTGTGTCCCTCTGTTATAAAATGGTCATGCCTAATCACTTTCAGAATATGATCTGAAGAAGGGGGTCTGCCTCACGAAAGCTTATCACCTCATAAACTATTTTGTTAGTCTTTAAAGTGCTACATGACTGCTTTTTTGTATTATTACAGAGGTACTTCCTGATAGGTATTTTGAAATAGATTGCCCAAATAACAGAAACAGGTTGGATTATGTAGTGTTATTTTGACAGGTAAAATTTGCAGAATTTTAAAATATCATGTGCAGAATTTTTAATTTTTTTGGCTCAGAATTCCCTCAGGAGTACTTCTGGTTTGACTCAGAGTGGCTGTTCTTATGTTCCTTTTTCATTCCTCTGGTACGTTAAGAAATGTTTTCCTGACGTTTGCATAACATATATTTCCTTCATCCTAGGTGAACGCTAAGCACCTGTTTGATCACTACTTGACTTTCATTAACATTGCCAAGTACCGAGATACAGAACTGGAAAACTGCTTTTCGCAACACATCATTCAAAGTATCCGAGAACTGACAAAAACCAAGGTATAGAGGAGTCTCTCATTCCTCCTGTATAGGGACTGCCTGATGCTAACTGAACAGAGGGGCTAGAAGCCAGGAAATTCTGAGCTCTGTTCCCCGCTCTGTCATGCTGGATGGCTTTGTGCATGTTTATTATGCCATTGGTTACTCTTTATATGAGGGGAACACGTACTACAGGCAGCCCCCGGGTTACGTACAAGATAGGGACTGTAGGTTTGTTCTTAAGTTGAATCTGTATGTAAGTCGGAACTGGCGTCCA